GTATATCGAGTTATATGCAAAAATATTTTTCACACTACGTATTGCTCGTCGATTCAAATGCTCGAATGATTGGATTTGCATTAAAATTTTGGTACAATGTAAACAACAATAATCAACTTTTTATCGCATATATCTTTTCTCTATTAAAGACATATATATATACACATACATATAGAATCGCTTATTTGTAAGAGAATGCGTTAGATGCTTGCATTCAAACATTTTAGCTACATGGAAATAAATAACTTGTCGCGTCAAATTAAGTAATAATGTATTACGTATTATTTGCATATTCGAAATATTAAATGTAGAACGTTTATAGGAAAAAATCAATAACGAATTTGATAAAAGATGATCTAGAACATAGAATGCTATCTTTCGACCATTTGATATGGAGGATGTACTAGAGTTTAAATGAATTACATAAAAAATATTAAAACATGTTAAAACATATAATAATATATACCGGTGTTAATGATACTTTTGTGTATAACACGAAAATTAATCCGATTATTGATTATTTATTGTAACATACATATGTATTTATTTATGTATTACTTATACTATCTTTGAATAAGAAAAATTTGCTCAAAATATCCTATCGAATATATTTTGAACATAATTTATCGATATTATCCAATAAATATATTAAATTATTATAAATTATTATAAATAAATTATTATATTCATCAAGGATGTTTGACCTGCCAATTTTATAAAAAATAAATATAATCTTAGAAGATAAAATTCTAACAGTTCTTTCATTCACGATACTTTTTTTTTTCACGAAACGTTTGAAACATAAAACATATTCTCGTCTCTTTTATCTATTATAATAGAATCAAGAATATTTTGAATGATCGTCTTTCTATTAAAATATTATTATATAAATATTTGTAAATAGTAAATTAAATATGTTCTAGATTTCATTGCTATATAAATAATAATAATAATATACATTTTATTAATTTTAATTTTCTTCAAATTTTCTGAATTAGGTGCGTGATTTTTTTTACTTTTTTTTAAATATTTTACATATACATGATTTCTAGAATAAAGTGTAAAAGACATTGATGATCTTATATCATTGATCATTTAATATCGAAGAAAAAAAAAGGAGAATCTTCGATGTTTTTTAGCTAATAATGGATGAATATTCAAGATGGAAGATTCAAGAAACGTTATACCATCCGATTATAATTAAGTTTTATCCATAGATATAATAATTCTATAAATTCGTACGAAAAATTTTCCAAGAACTTTTCGCAAAAAACGCTTGAAAAAAAAAGATTTGGATATTTGCAAGATAAATAAGATAAACTTGAGATATTTTTTCGAATCGAATTCGCATGATAAAAGAAAAAAAATATATGAAAATAAAATGAAAAAAAGATCGATTAATTGTTGAACTTTGTCGATAAAATTCACAAACTATCTTTCTTTTTCTTCGTAGAATTGTTGTGAAAAACCAAAAAAAAAATACATAAAACATAACAGATTGTCCGTTATATCTATACAAAGCACAAAGCAAAGAAACTTTCAAAGTTCAAAATATATTTGAAAAATTATTTCAAATTGATAAAAACTGATAAAAATATATCAGCTAGAAAATAATATAATGCTTATAGACAAATCTTTCTATATAATAAAAACAATTCTCATTTTCTAATATTGAATAAATTGAATAACGATGTCAACATTATATTTCTTCCTAAGAATACCATAATTATTTTGCAATCGACAAAATAGAAAACAATAAGGAAAAAGATATCTTTTTATTATTGTATACTAATAAAGAAAATTTTTCATTTTTTTCAATTTTCAAAATACCGTTTACGAATATATTATGAATATATTTACGAATAATTGTATTGATTTGTTGAAAGAAATTTAGAAACTATATATATTATGTGATACTTATTTTTCAATAAATATAACGGAAACGTTTCTTTGGATATAAAATTGTGAAAGAAAAAAAATATATGTATGAAAGAAAAAATTCAAAATTTGTATATTATATTTTTGATATATACAATATTATATATGTATGTTACATTTTATGCGAAGAATCGAAGAAACAATTGGAAGAAATATACGATAGATTGTGTTTGAAAATGAAAAATGAAAATTTGGAAATGCTATTTGAAAAAATTAAGAATAAAATGATGAAAGATAACGATAAATGAATCGAAATCGTTGCTGAATCGATGAAGAGGAATAATTTTTATAGTTCGAAAGCGAGTCATCATGCATACGTTACAAGTTAAGTCGATATAAAAATTAAAAATTTATTACGAATACTTAAAGAAATTCAAGATTATTCTGATTGAAAAAGGATTGATTGAAGATTTTAGTAGTAATTGTATAAAGAAAAGAAATGGTAAGTACTTTTTTAAATGATTAATTATTTCTCAGTTATATCTCAGTACATTATTAAAAAAGCTAGAAAATAATCATTTCCGATATTGTAAACTTATTTTCCTTATATTCCTCAATCTTCTTAATCAAGAAGATTTCTTTAATTAAAAAAGATTGTTTGAGATTATGTTAAATTTCACAAAAAATCCTCTTATTGGAAAAAAGATTCTATATTATAATATTGTAACGAGTGTATAATTCATTTGTACAATGAAAATTTTGAAAAATTTAATAGAAGATACATATTTCGTGCTTACATATACAATATGTATCAAAAAATAAATCAATATGAATAGATACATATATTTATTGAAAAATTTATGATTTTTTGATCGAAAATAAGATGAAAAAATAAAGAATAAAAAATATATATTATAATTGATAAAAGATAATAATATTAATTAAATATCAATTTTCTAATTGTTTTTATCCTTTCGCAATTTTTTTTTTTTTTTTCTAAACAAAATTTCTATTTCTATTGTATGATCATAAATATTAATTTTAATCATTACACAATAGAAAGAGACAAAGAAATAGATGTTAAAAGACATTTGTTCGACATAAGATATATAATTTTTTTACTAAATAAATAATTATACGTTGTGTTATTTTTAATGATATTTCGATTTATTATTATTTTATTGATATCTTTAAATTGATAATAATATGATATACATCAATCTACTAAAAAATCATATCTAATGCATCATAATGATAATATGCAACTAAAATTAGAAAATACAATTTATATATATATTAAATAAATGATAATTATTTTTATCAAAAATAAAATCAAATTGATTAATGAATTTTTTGATATAATGAATTTTTTATTATAATTATATCCTTAATTTATTTTCTCATGCAAAGTCATTTTTTTTTTAAATTAAAACAAATATCAATTCATAAAAGAAATGAAAAAAAAATTTTTTTTTCTTCATTTCTTCTTTCAAATTTTCTTTTAAATATTATCCTACGAGTAATTCCAGAGTCTCTGCAATTCTTAATGTATATATCTTTAGTATTGCAATTTAATTTTGTAATAAAATATTTTTGTTACGATACATAATTTCATTGGTTACTGTACTTTTATAGTAAAAAGAAACTAAAAAATTCGATAATTCAAATTAAAAAAATAATAATATAACTGGCAATAAAACTGGCAGATTAAACATCCTTAAAATATTGTAAATTATTTATATTTATAATTATATTTGATCATTGATACTCAGATTTTTTTATGATATTTATTTAATCGAATATACTTTCAATAAATAATTAAAAATTGTCGATTATAATTATAGTAAAAATTTGTATTATTTATGCTGTATTTTTTTTTTTGTGCTAATCAAATCGCTGTTAGATATTTTAAATATATATATATATGTAATATCCATTTAATTATGAATATTTCATTGTATAAATAAAAAATTTCAGGTATTACAAGATGAAATTCAAAAAAGACAAGAAGCTTTAAAAGCTGAACTTCGTAACAGAAAAGAATCTATTCGTTTATGTAATGAACGATCGAATAATCTCTCTCAATCAATACCGTCATCTCCTCAAGAAAGATCACGGATTTATTCTCGAAGAAGATGTGCTAGTAGTTCTGAAAGTTCCGATGGTTTCCTTTGCGAACATAGAGGAACGAAATTACTGCATTTCGATCATAATAAAGGTATATGATTGATCATATTTATTAAAATTTATTTTTATTTAAATTTTTATTTTTATTAATATTCAAAAAATAAAAGAAAATAGTAAAAATATAAAAATTTCGTAATAATGTACATAATCATTTGTCTTTTTTAGATAAAATGTGATGTGATTTTTCTCTATTTTTTATGTTTTCTCTATTTTTGCGTTTAGAATTAGAAATGTGTTTAAAATTATTACTAATCAATTATCAATTTTTTACTTATTTTTATTTATGTAAAATATCTTAGGATAATTTATTTATATTCAAATCAAAGAATTATAATAATCGATTTCACTTATGTTTGAAAAATTTTCAAACTTGACTTATTTGAAAACATTTTATATAAATATACGTGTTATAATTAAAACGTTTTATATAATTAGTTTATATAATTAGAATAAAAACTTATATAATAGAAAAATATATTAAAGTTTTTAAGTGTCCAAGGAATTATAAATTTTTTAATATATTCAATATTATTTTTATTTTATAAATTAATCATTATAATTATAAATATAAAAAAGAAGAAATTACAATTTTCATTCATTTTTTTGTAATCATTCCTATAGGTGAACGTCAAGTGTACAGAGCAAAATGTATGGGTCATAGTACTAAAGGATCAATTGTTTATGCAGGTGTTGATATGACAACTGGAGAATTATTTGCGATTAGTGAATGGATATTGAAAATGAATAACAAAATTGATGAAAATAATATTCAACATATTATGAAACAAGTAGGAAGTTTAGAGCAAGAAGTAAATCATCTACATAAATTACATCATCCAAATCTTGTACATTATTTAAATATGAAGTATTTGCAAGAAGAAGATGATGTACTTATCTATGTTCTTCAAGAGTTCGTGGTAAAAAGCAATGATAAATACATGTATAATTGTGATTTAGACGAAAAATTCATATTTATGCAATAATAATTTCTTTAAAAGTAACCACAATCAACGTATTAGCAAGTATAAATATTGTATAAATATAGGATAAAAAGTAAAATTATTAATTATATGTATATAAAAAAATATATATTTTTCTGTGATATATAAGTTTTACTAATTAATTCGTAATTTATTATTTTATGCATTTAATGTATCTACAATTTATCTTATACATTTAAAATTGCATCAATAATGAGAATTAAATAAATTAATTGTTTACCGAATTTCAGATAGGTAGCAGTTGTTCTTTTTTCTTATTGGAAAACATCCCGGTAAACATCGATTTTCTACGATATCTAGCAACTGGAATCCTCTCTGCGTTAAGATATCTTCACGAAAATAATGTTGTCCATAAGGATCTACGTGATACCAGTATCTATATTGATAGCACAGGAATGGTTAGATTGTCAGATTATTCTTTGAATAAAAGATTATCTGATATTTATCAAACATGTGCATTAGTTAAATCTGAGCCAGATTTTCCAAGTATACAAGGCAGAGGTGGGAAAAAAGCAGATATTTATCGTTTTGGTATTCTTATGTTTTCTTTATTAAATGGAATCATAGTTTCTGGAGATAAAATTGATCCAACGACAATTATACAGGTATTATTTTATAATATATATATTTTTTACATATATTTTTATTTAATATTTATATATATTTGCATATATATTTTAAATATATAGATATATTTTTAAAATTATATTTTTAACATATATGAGCATTTCAAACGATATTAATATTAATAAATGATGTTAATATAAATAAAAAAGGTAAATGAATTAAAGATTCGAAAAGTGAAAAATAAAAAAATTATGTCTAATGAAAAAATATTTCGTATTTCGAATGCATAATCAACTTCACTTTAATGTTTATTAAATTTTAATAAAATTAAATGAATTTTAATAAAAAAAATCTAAGAATAATATATAATAATTTTTTAATAAAATCTTAAATAACAAATTATTTACTACTAAAAATTTTCTTTATTTCTTCATTTCAATTTTCATAAAATGTGATAATATTAATGTAATAAATAGTTATTTATATAATTAATTATAAATCAATTGTAATGTAATTCTAAATCTACGATTTTTCAATTTTATTATTAATTAAAACACGTAAGATTAGACAAAGATTGAATTTTTTTTTTTTTTTTTTTAATATCATTATATTGAATCATGATGTTAAAAAATGATCAAATGATTAAAAAATCATATGATTTTAAATAAAAATAATAGATATATAAATTTCATATATTCATTTCATTCTCTGTTCCAAATTAATTCCTCCAATTTCTGTTTTCATTAATAAATCGTAATTGCTAATGCAATGAAAATAAGAATGTTGAATTATTTTGAAATAAAAAATATTATTCGAGGCGCATTTTGTATAATAAATTGCATTTTACATATTTTCTTCTTTTAAAAAAAATTTGTATCATAAGATACTATAATTTTCCAAATGTTTCAGCCTGATCTACAAGATTTTTTATTAAAGTGCCTTATCAATGATGAAAGAAAACGTTGGTCCGCCGAACAACTATTACAACATTCATTTATAAAAACACCTTTAGCCCATGCATTATCACCTCCAAAAATATCACGAAAAGATGAACAGGAGATTCATGAACCGGAAGAACCTGATACAGATATTCGACAATATGTACCTCCGTTAGGTAGTCATTCAAGAATTACAAATGAGTTTGAAATTCTTGAATGGCTTGGTAGGGGTGCTTTCGGCGATGTTCTTAAAGTGAAGAATAAATTAGATGGTGGAATTTACGCTATTAAAAGAATAGAATTAAATCCAAAAAATAAACAACTTAATAAAAAAATTACTAGAGAAGTGAAATTGTTGTCACGGATGAATCATGAGAATGTAGTACGATATTATAATTCATGGATAGAAAGTGCTATAATAACTGATGCGGTAGAAGAACGATTATCCATAACATTTTCCGAAAAAAAGAATTCAGATCCGCTTAATGTAATTATTATAGATATTTATATTAATTTATTAATTAGTGAATTAATTTTTTGATTGTTTAAATATAAATTTTATGTATGAATATAAATTTCTTATTTTGAATTTAAATATTCGTTTCATTGATAAGTGATAATATCACAATATTTAAATTTTATTTAATTTCATGAAGAATTTTTTAATTCATTTAATTTTTTAATCAATTTAATTAATAATTTAAAATTATTTTTTTACTTTATTATAATTGTTAAAAAATTTGATAAGAATTCACAAGAATTTCATTGTTTTTATGTGTTATAAGAAATAAAAAAAATTAATATATTACATATTATAAAAAAAATTATTATTTGAATAAAAAATTAATTTTAAATATGTCGAATATTAAAGTTAAATATTAAAAGTTCATATATAACTTCTGTTTTAATTCTTTTCATTCAATTTTTAGCATTTGGGAATGGATGATATCGAAAAATTGGCACCACCACTACACGAAGTTGAATGGAATGTTTCATATAAATCTCGAACAAATACAACACTTCCAGCTGATAGCGATGAAGATAATAGTGATGCTTCGAGTGACACTGACAGTGATGAAGATTGTGCGTTTTTGTAAGAGATTAATTTTTAAAGTGGTGATTTATAGATTGTATAATATTTTTGCAATAAAAAAAATAGCTATTGTCGAAATTATTGTCGAATATTAAAATTATATTTAATCTTTGAAGAAAAATGTAAATATTTTTAATTTAATTTTATTTATTTCGTTGATAAATATTTGAATAAATAAGTAAATTTCATGAATAGCTTTGCAATAAATCTATTATAACATAAAAATAAAAAATTATGATAATACAGTTTAAAATAATATTGCAAAATTTTATAATTTTTAAAACTAAAATTTTTTAGATATAATATTTAATAAATGATTTAATAATGATAAATTTTTATTATTTTATATATTATATAAATTTTATTAAATTTTTACATTTTTTTATAAATTTTTCAGAATGCAAAATCTTTTAAGAATGGATTCTTCTGATAGCATAGAATTCGAAAAAGATACAAATTACCAAACATCTGCGTCAAATATAAACAACAACGAAAACGGAAATATAGATGAATCAAAAGAAATGGTTAGAGAAATTCAATTTATGTACATTCAAATGGAATTTTGTGAAAAGAGTACTTTACGAACAGCAATTGATGGGGGACTTTATGAAGATCGAGAAAGAGTATGGAGATTGTTTCGAGAAATTGTTGAAGGTCTGGCACATATTCATCAACAAGGGATGATACATAGAGATCTGAAACCAGTAAATATATTTTTGGATAGTAACGATCATGTAAAGATTGGAGATTTTGGTCTAGCTACAACAAATATACTTTCATCTTTTGTACACACAATGGAAACTGACAAAGAATTTCAAGGTTTAGAAAAAGGTAAATGCTCAAAAAAATTTTAAGTTTTTAGAATTTATTTATTAACATTGAAATAATATTATGATCTCAAATAAAGATATAATCGGAAATTTAAAAAATTAATTTCGAAAGTGTTTAAAGAATTTAAATAAGTTTTCGAAAATTCACCGAATTTGAATAAGTTTTATACAAAATTTTTTTATTATATGAGATATTCGGACAAAATAAATAGAAAATTTAAAAGTTGATTAAAAAAATTAAAACAAACGCAAAAATGAAATATCATCATCGTGAATAAAATATCATGAATAAAAATTATATCTGTTATTATCTTTTCAAATTTTCACGTATAATATTATATATATTTTAGGTATTAGTTTTGGTACAGAAGAAGTTGGATCTTTGACAGGACAAGTTGGTACGGCACTTTATGTAGCTCCAGAACTTACAACGAAAGCAGCGAAAGCTATTTACAATCAAAAAGTGGACATTTATAGTCTTGGAGTAATATTATTTGAAATGTGTTACAAATCTTTAACTACAGGAATGGAACGAATTAAGATTTTACTTAATTTACGATCGAAAGAAATTATATTTCCCTCGGAAATGCAACAAGCTGATATGTCACGACAAATTCATATTTTACGGTATAATAAAAATTTATTATTAATTTTATGTTAAAAATTAAAATTTATTAATAGTATCTTATTCCATAATTAATTATATTTAATTTTTTTTTATAACATGATAATTAATATCTATATAAATAAAATATAAATTAAATATTATACTTAATATTACGATTAAGTTAATATGCATTAACTTTATCGTTATAGCTGGTTATTAAATCACGATCCTAGTCAACGACCCACGGCTCAAGAACTTCTTTCTTCAGAATATTTACCTCCTGCACGACTTGAAGAAACGGAACTACAAGAGATGATTCGTCGCACTCTTTCGAATAATCAAAGCAAAGCATATAAATATTTGATTTCATGCTGTTTCATGCAGGAAGTTAGTCCAGCAGACGATATCACTTATGATATGAATTTACCTAGTAGAGGACATATCAACTTTATTACTTGGAGAAAGTATCAAGAAGGAGTAAAGTCCAAAGTAATCGAAGTTTTTCAAAGACATGGCGGTGTTTATTTAGGGACTCCTCTATTAATACCAAAATCTCACCAGTTCTGTAGTTTTTCACCTTCTAGTGTCAAATTAATGACTCGCAATGGAAACATCGTTTGTATCCCTCATGATTTACGTGCCGTATTTGCAAGATATATTGTATGGAACAATGTACCGCATATTAGAAGATATGCTATAGAAAGAGTCTTTAGAGATAAAAAGGTATTATTATTTTATATTATTACTTAATGTTTCAAAAATCAATGTACAAAAATATTTTTTTTATTTATATCTTAAAAATAATTGAAAAATAAATTTTTAAATATTTAAATATATTAAGTATATGATATGAATAAAAGTTTTTAATATCTTATATATCTTTTTTATATTTTTTTTTCTTATATAATTTTATTTTTTTAGGTTTTGGGCTTTCATCCAAGAGAACTTTATGAGTGTGCATTTGATATAATAAATCCTATTCCTGATAATTTTTTAATGGAAGCTGAATTAATATACATTGTCTGGGAAATCATTAATGAATTACCTTCGTTACAAGAACGGAATTTTACTATTCGCTTGAATCATACCTCTTTATTACAAGCTGTGTTAATGTATTGCGGAGTTGATAAAGAAAAATATCAAGATATTTATTCGATTCTTCGAGATGCACGTGATGGAAAATTTACAAGATTTCAAATACAGACCCATTTAATAAGTTTATGTTTGACTGATCAAGCTATGGAAACATTATTCAATTTATTTGAAACTGAAAGCTCTGTTGCTAAAATTCATAGTGTTTTAAAAACGATTACACGAAGAAAAGGAGATGCTGCTGTTTTTGCTAGAGAAGGATTGAAAGAAATTGAGATAGTTATGGAAAATATTGAAACATTGGGTATAAAGGTAAGATACTATCTTTATTACAAAAAAATTGAAAAATTTCAATTAGAAAAATAATTTTGATGATTAAGGAATTTTTTATATTATATATATATTATATATATATATATATACATTATATATATATTATATAATTTTTAGTTTATAAAAATATAATAAAATTTGAATTTTATAGTGGCCTATAGTGGTAGTACCTCTTCTAGTACATAATGTAAATCAACATAGCGGTATAATTTATCAAATTACATGCGAAGTTAAATGGCGTAAAAAAAAAGGTGGAGAGGAAGTAATAGCAGCAGGAGGTCGTTATGATAAAATGCTCTCTTCTTTTAAAAAAATTCTTGAACGTACTGGAATGGCTAGTAAAGAAATTAAACAATATGGCGCCGGAATTAGTATTTCATTAGAAAAACTAGTTTCTGCAGTTTCAGAAACCTCGGAATCTGTAGAATGTAAATATGGAATCGACGTTGCTATATCTTGTATGGATAATCATCATCGCGGAAAAGAGATGATTAATCTTTTAAAAGAATTATGGAATCTTGGACTTAAAGTTACAATTTTAGATTTAATTTCCCTTGAAGAAATTCTTGAATATTGTCGAGAAAATTCTATCAATCATGTTATTTTTTTAAAAAGTGGAGAAAAAGGAAGTGTGAGAATCCAAAGTTGGGAGCGTGATAGATTTCAAGAAAAAAAAATGAGCAATCAAGAAATTGGAGAGTTTTTTCAAAGATTAGATAATTCTGTACCCATCTTAAATAGATCTGAAAGCAAAACTGCGACAAGTGATAATTTTTTAAGTAATAACAATCCAGTTAATATTAATATTAATTTTATTTTATCAGAAAGAGATAAACTTTCTGGTAGTTCAAGAAGAAGTTTAAAAAATTCTATGATTGCACAGATGTCTACATATTTTCAGAGAATTTCACATAAAATTCCTATTGAAATATTTGCAGTATTTTTAGAAATGAGTGTTGTAAGAATAATAATAAGTTTCTTAGAGATTGATGAAGAAGATCAAAATTTTTTAAAAAGTATACAAGTAATTATAGACAAGTAAGTTTTTATTTTTACTATATTCATTTTTATTTTTATTTTTATAAGATTATATTTAAAATTTAAAAAGAAACAAAAAAATAAGATATAATTTTACTGTATTTGAATGATATATATAATAATTTCACTATATTTAATTTACACTTTGAATGATTAAATAATATATATAATAAAAAAAAATTATAGTTATCTATTTAATAGTACAATACCAATATGAATTATGAATCACATTGATATATTCATATTAATTATATATAATTATTATATAATTTTATAATAGTTCAGTTAATGCATAATATCAACATGATTTGCACCAATTTTAATAATTTTTTGCTCGCAGATAACAACTTCTTTATCCAATGACTAGTTGTATCAAATACTGTTGTATCAAATAACAAATATAGATCTCAATATATCAATGTTAATAAAATATTATTGAATGAATTGATGTTTAAAATTTATTTTTATAACTATAAGGAAAATAAATATTTTTCTATATAGAAAAAAAAAAAATATTATATATGTGTAAAAAAGATTTTTTGAATTGACTTTATAATATAAAGATAAAATAATTTTTAATTCCTGTTTAAATTTAATTTTTAACTTTTTGCTGATAAAAATTTTTTTGTTTTATTTTAGACATCCAAGACATAAGAAATATATAAAGGAGATATGTGAAAAAATGCAAGAAGTAAGAAAAGAAAAACAACGACCCGTATTAATACTGTACAGTTTAATCGATAATCAATATATGACTCTTTTATAAATAAGTTTTTTTTTATAAAAGCTTCATGACGAAGATATAGAATTCGCAAAAACAAAAATATATAACAAATATTATTAAATGATTCATAATAAAATAATTTAGTTTTGTGAAATTGTTTATATTTCAGAATAATTTTTATCTTTTTCACTGTATGCAAATAAAATAAAAATAAATATAAATAAAATAAAATAAATAAAATAAAATAAAATAAAAATAAAATAGTAAAATAAATAATTTAACCTAACTTCGTAATAAACATCTTGAACATCGATTGAAATTAATCGATATTTCATTCAAAATTCAAAATTATTGATATATTATCTTATGATTATTATATAATATTTTTTTGTTGTTTATATATAAAAAAATGATTATAGAAAATTTATGTTCAAATCAAAAAAAGAAATATATAGATATACAAGTTGCGATATATATACAAAACGAAAAAAAATTTGGATATTAAAAAATGATAGTGAAATTTAGAAATAGAAAGAAAAAGACAACAAATATTTTCAATACAATATTCTAAATACCTGCATTTTATTTTCTTTGTCTCCATTTTTTCTTCGGTCCCCATTGTCTATTATTTTTTCCTACTCTTTCAATAAATTGAAATATCATTTTATGAAAGTATCCGATATTATATAAAAAAATTATTAATAAAAGAAAAGAATTTATAAGAATAAAATAAAAATGTTTTTATTCGTATGACAAATAAGATAGTAATGGCAGAAAACAAAATCATTACCCATATAAATCCTGCACATATATATATTATATATAACTGTACATAAAAAATTTAGATTAAATATTAAAGGAAAATAAATAAATAAAATATATGAAATATATTTTTAAAATTTATGATATAATTATTATATGAAGAATTTGTTTTCAAATATATTTTATTTGCTATATATTATACAATTATATTTAAATATGGCATCTAAAATCAGCTGTTCATTTACTATATATCAGCTGTGTATGGCATTAAATGACTAAGTAAACATACATAATAAATACTTGTTACGCTATCTTTTCTATTATATTATAAATATGATATGAAATTATATCATTAATGGTTAAGAATATAAATTAAGGATATATAATAGTGTTTTTTATTTAAATATATACAAAAAATATATATTTTGAATTTACTTTTATAGATATAAACTATAAAGATATAAAATGGATGTAATAACGAAAGAGTTGCTTGTGCCGCCAAAATATATAAAAGTAATAGATGGTAGAATTTGTTTAACTATTCACAAAAATTGGCTGAATAATTTACTTAATACAGGCCCAATTTCATTCATTTATCATGAACGATTAAGTGCAGATGAAATTGCAGCTTATCCTGTGCTTGAAGATTTGGGTCCAGATTGGATAAGAGTATATGTTAAAGTATGTTAATTTTTATTATTTCAAAAAAACTTTTTATAATTTTATATATATATATGTATATAAATTATATTATATTATATATTTTTTAAAATATTTTGAAAATTAAATAATTTTAGGTTACCATACACAATGAAAATATTTATTTTTTTACAAAAAAATTTATGGAGGAAAAATTAACAAAATCTTAATTTTTTAAATTCAATATTATATTATAATTACTTATATTAGTAGAATACAAGATGAATTTCAAAATAAAATATGTATTTCAATTAATAATTTTTAAGTAAAGAATTAAAAATTCAAGTTTTCAATGAATATAACTATATTATTATTATCATAAATTAAAAATATTAAATACTAAATATTAAAAAAGATTACAAAGATTGGAAACATTATATATCATAAAAAAATAAAAAACTTAATTATATCTAAGAATATTTTGTATTCGAATAATATATGTATAAAAATTTAACTATTGCATTCTGAAATTATAATATGCAATAATAATACAATAGTAAAAAAAATCCTTTTATTATTTATTCATTAAATTAATTATGAATCTGTGTATATTGAGTAATTGCAAAAATGATATATTTACTTATTAACTTATTGAATAAATTGTAAAAAAATAAATTAAAAACACTTATTTTTTTAATTTGTTTCAAATATACTTTTTAATTATTGATTGAATTATAATTTTTTTTTGAAAACATTATACAATTATAACTTTAAAAATAAATTACTCATAATATACAAAATTATTCATATAATTTTGTATATTAATATATGTCAAATCATAATAAATATAATAGAACATAAAATAAAACAAGATATTATTATTTATTATTATAATATTATGTTATTAATTATTAATTAATTATTATAGTTGTATTACAGAATCATTATCATAAATATATCATATCATATCATATTATCATAGAATAATATTTTTAATGCTTTTATTCTATTTATAAATAATAATTGTTAATAATAATAATTTCTAGATTTATGAAAAACAACATAAGTATGCTATTCCACTTCCAAGAGGAAGGAATATAAATGGAAATTCTCATACAGATTTAACATATTCACAATTGATGCATTATGTTGCAGAAACTAATTATCGAAATTTATGGAAAGAATGTTATAAAAAATATTACAGTATGTATCTTTAAGTTAATTTAATATTTATACAATATATAAAAATTTTTAATTATTTATTAATTTATTTAATAAAAAAATAGATTAATTTTTTTTTATATTTTATATAGGTCCATGGAATTGTGTAGAACATAAAGAACAATACAATATAATTGCTAATGTAAGTGATATTTGGATTATGCAAGAAGTATTACAGAAAATGTATGGTTGCACTCTGATACAAATACAAAATGGGTTAGTGATATCTGTATTGCCTGGTATATCAACTGAAGTACATTGTAATCTCCTTCCAATATTGTTTGCTATTGAAACAACATCTGCTTTTTTAACATTGCATGAACAAACAGCACAATATTCTTTACGTGAGTGAGTATATATTATACGTATATATACATATATATTATACATACGTATTTCAATTATAATTTCTTATATATTAAATAACTCTATTATTTATTATTGTTAAAGATGTGTAATGTACAGTCCTGCTGCTTTAAATATGAGTCATGGAAAACCATTGTTTTTAATATATCAATTATTGCAATTATCTAGAGATTTGCATGATAAAGGTTTAGTATTAGGTGAAATTACCCTTAGTGATATATTAATTATGGATAATTTTACTATTCAGGTTAATATTTATATGTCATCATTTTTTATATTAGATATTTCTTATTTATTCAATTTTCTTTTGAAATTATAACTACTTTCCTAGATTTTATATTATTAGGTGTTACCAAAAGTAAATGACAACATATATATAAAGTCTGAAAATGAATATTCCAAAGTTTCTATTAATAGTCAAGAAATAAGAACCAAAAATTTTAATGGATGTAAAAGAAATTTTGATACAATTTCATCAAATTTAACATTACAAGGGAATTCTAATTTTGGAATGAATGAAAATATTGAAAAATTATGTGAAATGTGGGTATATAATTGTATTAGCAATTATGATTATTTAACTGCGTTAAATAATTTGGCTGGTAGAAGATATGGTGATCCAAGTTGTCATCATGTGATGCCTTGGGTCACAGATTTTACATCAAGATGTGGTGGTAATTGGAGAGATTTGACAAAATCAAAATTTCGATTAAACAAAGGTGATAGACAATTGGATTTAACATTTGATTCACAATCAACTGAAGTAAGTATTTAACAATTAAATTTTAAAGTATAATAATTATGTAATGTATAATGTAATGTATAATAATTATATAATGGATTATTATTTTGACAATATTTACAGGTAGGACATCATGTATCGGATGTATTATCAGAAATTACATATTATGTTTATCTTTCCCGTCGTTATAACAAATCCGTCCTTTGTAAATATGTACGATCGCAATGGGTACCAGGAGAATATCCTGCTTCGATACAAAGATTACATGATTGGAGTCCAGATGAATGTATACCACAATTTTTTACTGATCCTAGAGTTTTTAAGGCAAGATAAAAATAATTAATTTAATTTTTCATAATACATATAATTAGTTGTAAAATATGTAACAATCAATAAATTACAGTCTATTCATGAAGATTTACCAGATTTAGAAATTCCAGGATGGGCTACATCACCGGAAGATTTTATTGAAAGACATAGAGAAGCTTTAGAAAGTTTTTATGTTTCTGAAAGACTACATCATTGGATAGATTTAACTTTTGGTTACAAGTATAAGACATTTATTTTAATGTACAATAATATATATTAATATCATTATTATTATTTAACTTTTTTATATTATAGATTATCTGGTTCAGCTGCGGTAAAATCAAAAAATGTTTGTTTACAACTTGTTGATAATCATACAAGTTTAACCAATTCTGGTATTGTTCAACTTTTTACGCAACCACATCCACAAAAAATTATTCCTTCGCCTTATTGGTGTAAGATTCCACCACGATTACGCTCATCTTTTTTAATTAATAAATATAGTATGTTTAATATAAAATTTTCAATATTTTATGAAATAATTTTATTTTTATTCGATATTAATCAAATAATTTATTATAGAAAATGATCAATCTGGAAATAGAACTAGTGATGATGAAGGTCATAGTTCTGGATTTGAAGAAGAAGAATTATCGATTATAAATATATCAAAATCATCTCCTTTGGTTTTAAGTCGATTATTAAGTCGTTCTCGAGGTTCTTTACTTAATACCGAAGACAGTGCTAAACAAGATAAATCTATACATCAAATGATAACTCTTCCAAAAGATTATAATCCTGTTACAGCTATCATGCATGTTGAAACAATGCATACATTCGTAAATAAAATGAGCTCTCAAGTTTATAAACCACAAATTGAATTACACGAATCATTCACAAATTATAAACAAATCGTAGCTAGTGGACGTATTAAAGAACAACAAATTCTCGGTTGTTTAATTGTGGAAATATTTTTGTCTAATAAATTTCGAGCAACATGGAATGTTGAGAAGGTTTCATTTGCAAAAAGACTTGCAACGTGTTTAAATATTTTGAAGATATCAGCTGATAGTTTACCTAAATGTGTAAGAAATGCTGTTGCTTTATTACTTCAA